TCATAGGAGCAGAGCCTCTCTGCTCCTATGATGCTGCTTGGCCTGCTGTGTTCATCCAGCCCTGCACCTTGTTGTCTCTATGCTTATGTATTGGGTGGCTAGACAAACCTTCAATTAGTACTGGAGGAGGTTAGCAGGGAAGAGCCTGGTCCTGACTCCTGAAACCCTTACTGCCACAGCCACAGTAATATGTACACGAAGATTGTGCTAATGTGTGTTATTCACCATGCTGACCTATTGATAAGTCCCTGCCTGCATCATTGTTTTAAATCTGATTTGTACCCACTGATTATCGGCTGCGCATTGTAGATAAAAAAAATTACTAGAGATATTCAGCAGTTCAGACAGCATCGATGAAAAGGGAAACAAAATTATCATCCAAAATCATTGGCTCCGATATTGTCAGGGGTGTGTTTGGTAACAGGGAGGAGTTAAGGTGGACTTTTAGAACTTTATAGTATACAACATTCCTCTCTGACAGGATCCTGCCTTGAACCTGATCTGATTGATAGGTTTGACCTCCAGGTGGAGACGCAGTTTGTAGCAACCTGTGGACAGAGGAATCCGATCTCTGATTTCAGGCTGGGGTCTGACCCTTCCCAAAGGGTTGGAAGTTCCAGTTTGGATTGAGAAGATCCATGATGGGGGTGATCTAATTGGGAGATGTGTCGATATCATGGGAAGTGAGTAAAGTCATTGGGGGTTGGGAACTGAGGGGAGAGCTGGAAAAATGAATCTTGGCCAGAGCAGTGCTGTGCAGCACTTTGTTTTCGTTAGCTTCTCTGTCACTCTTGAGCTCAAGTAACCCAGGCAACAGCCTTCACCCTCTAAAACAGTTTCAATACAAGGTTCCCAAACTTATTAGAATATTTAAATATCCCCAACCCTCTACCTGGGGCTGGGTTGGATTTTCTGTCCCTCTCATTCCTCCTCCATTAAAACAAAAGTAGGTGAAATTTGACCTAAATGTGTCCTGACCCCAAAACAGCTGTTTTTCAAGTGAAAACTCTTCCCGACGTCGCTGTTTTTCTCTCCGCTCACATACTGTCTGCCTCACTATGTCCAGCGGTTTCTGTTTATATTTCAGATTTCCAACATTCACAGCCTTATCTTGTTGTTGATATGCAGTTCATCCTTGCCCATAAAACTCTCTAACAGGCACATACTGCAATGCACAACAGTAGTGCTGGACTTCAGTAATTACTCCAATATTCAGTAATCACTCCAATGTCCCCCAGAATTAGATACTTCTCCCTATTGGACATCCTACAACCTATCAATTTTCCCAAACCTAGATTAGAACTCCCATTCCTGGGGTAGACTCACTTCTAGCCCAGTAAGGCAATCGTCTGACTGTCACTCTGCGTCTCAATTTATTCCAAATGGTCACTTTTGGGGAAGAGATACTGGAAGAGCTGCTATGACTTTTGTCGGCATCATCATAGTCCCTCACGTTTTTTGACCCTTTGGCATTCTTTTCCTCCTCAGCCAAAGGCGATGCCCACACTGTTGCATCCTCTGGCATTACTGTGATGCCAATGCTGTTGTTCTGTGCAGGAGTTGCAATGTTGGTTTCTAATCGGGAACTGAATACTCCTGATGTTTTGCTGGAACCTACAGAAAATGAGGAACATTTTGAAAAGTGAACTCCGACTCCTGGCAGTAATATTCAAGGACTTACAAGGAAAGATGGTGTAGGCTTGAGTTGAGAATTTATCCTTACAGTTGAAAATTCATTAAGGAGACACAATAGTTTGATTTTTGCCTTTGGCTATCTTACAGTGAAACTGCATAGGGCTCATATGCAGAGACCAAGTCAATTCTTTAATGGATTGGGTTAAAGACTATGCATCTTAGCTCATTTTACCCCATTTACAATTACGAGCCTTTGAAGGTATCAACATTTATAATAGTTCAGAACCATATCAAGCAAAGTCTCAATTGAAGGCGACATCAGATTAATATGCAGACTTACTTTCAAGAGTTCCAACTACTTCACCATATCCTAATCCAAATTTGATTCCTTCAGTCATCAATTGGGATGATAGCCCCTTATTCTGTTGTAACTGTTCATTCATGCCTGGACCAGTGTCAGGACTTTGTCCTTGCTCATACCCTTACATCAGATCACAGCTGCCATTCCTTTGCAGTCAAATTCCTTCCCGGTCTTCTATCTGGCTTCCAAGCTTCCAGGTTGGCAAGCTTGAATGGATGCCTCTTGCTTGCCAGATCTTTTCTTTATTTCTTTGTGTCTCAAGAAAAGCGAATTCTTGTATATTCAAATGAAACGTTTCAACAGTTTAACCTCCTTTCGTTGTTATGACAGACATGTTTCTGATATCCAGTCATCTTCTTCCTACCGAACATTTCCAGGAACAAGTCACAACTCTTACTCAATCCGTTGTTAGTTTCTTGAGTCAGTTTTAAAGGATACACTTCAAAATAAGTGGAATCTGATTTTTGTAATGTATAATAAATGGATGAAGTGATCTCAATGCATAATCTAAAAGAGACCATTTCTAGAGTTGGTTTTCAAACTTGGGTAGATAGGCCCAACTATCTTCAGGCCACAGCAAATACGAACATAATGGAATAATGGGAGAACTGTCAGAAAGTCTTATTTAAACAAATAACCCCTAGCAGTTGGTACAAAAATTGTACATCCAAGTAAAAGAGAGTACGTAGCTAGAACAATTATTTACGAAAGATCATTCACATGAAATGTTAGCTCTGCTTTTCTCTACAGATACTTCCTGAACTGTTGAGATTTTCCAGCATTTTTTTTCCGGCATCCAGACTATATACAACTTACATTTTTAAAATTGTGGCCTTCTAATAGCCAAATACTGTTCTAAGATTCCATTGTGGTAACACTGACGTTGAACACAGTAAAGGAAGAGGCCATTCACATTGTTTTTTGTTTCAAAGCTGATTAAAGTTTATTACAGTACAAGACTGCCAGGTTGTCAATCTTTAGGACTGACAATTTAGAAGTGGGTGCTGCCAAGTTCTTCAGAGAAGCAATTCCTGCATCTGTCATAAACGTTTTAGGAAATAGCAAGTGTAACATGGATATTTGAGGCTAGAGCTATGTTAAAATGCAGCCATTAACTTATGTTGGAAATTGTGGTTAGTGCCAAGAGCCGCAGGTAATAAGAGATAAAGGGCTAATACTTATTTTAGAGGCTGTCAGGATTGTCTAGAAAATCATACAATCCAATTTCATACATTTCTTTGAATTGTCCTGAGGGTGTTAGGCCTAAATGTCTGGTTTTGAAACTCACTACATCCAATTTATTGCCATAAAATAGGTTGAATTTCTTTGTTTTAAAATCTTGTAATCAATGTTGTACTGTTTTAAGTGGTTGTAAAGGACATTTAATGTTGAGTTCCTCTGTTTCCACTGAAATTTTGAAAGTTGTTTAGTTTGAAGATTTCATACCAGATGAAAATATTAATGATATATCATAATTGGGAGATTAATATCTACTCTTAGATTGGCAATCTCCTTATATAAGAAGGCACATGTAAACACAAGAACGAATTTACTAAGTTAACCAACACAAAACCTATTTGCAGTTTTTATCAGGAGTGACCTGATCCTTAGTTTTACCCAAATATAAATTAACTACAGATCATATAACATGTGCATATTGTCACAGTTTTACACAACCCAAAACTTGATGGTATAGTAGGAGCTTCTAAGCAGACAAAATGTAAAAGGAGTTATACAACATTTTGAAACTTTAGTCCTGCAAAATTAAAATATTCCTGATTAATCATTATAATTGAATTCTGGGTACTCATTTTGATTCAAGTAGCATTTTATCCATTGTCATAATTTCGATATTGGTTTTTAAACTTTAGAGCTTTCACTTTCTCAGGCACTCATAAAGTCTTTCAAACTTCCAACATTTTTTCACAACAAACAAATCAATGTTTCTGAGCTTGATCCCAGAAAGAAAGTATTGATTTAAATCCTATTTTGTTGTTGCAACAGTGAAACCATATGCTGAACATTGCATTACCTTGAAGAAGGTTAGATGTACAATCCTCTTTATAGTACTCTACAAAGCAACAAAAGAATGACTCAGACTAGAGCAGAATATCTCCACAACGTCACCCTTACCTCCTTTAGTGATGGCACTCAATAAAATCAAAGTTGCAAAGGAAAGAAGACAGCCCATTTTGCTCAGACTTTTACTGTAGAACATTGTCACTGTAAGTTTCTTCCAATGCCCCGGCAGAATAAAACCTCACACAGAATCCATCTGGATCACTGGATACTTAAGTAGGACACAGCTCCTTTTCAGCTGCCCCTCACTGAAATGGCTTCTTTTATTGGTGGAATCTGGCCTTTGCTGCCATGGCAACTGGTTCGATTCCGATATCTGTTCATCGTTCCCTTGTGCTGGATGAATCTGCACAAAGGAATGTGGAAGAGAGTTTAAAATATGAATACATTCACAGTGTACTGAAGTTATAACTTTCTCTCCTTTCGAAGTTTGATGAATTAATAGGTGAGAAAAACAAAATGATAGGAGAAAAGCTGAATGTAAATTAGTAAAGAGGACAAGTGCTGTACTTACATTTAAATATTCAGCTGGTGAAACAGAGAAAATGCTCCATCACTGGCTACTGTAGGCTGTGCACATCATTATCTATATTGACATTCCTGCAAATTTTCACATAAATTTGAAATGGTTGACTGTTAAGAATTATTTAGTTAACAACATTTTGATTTCAATACATTACTATACAGCCTAATTAGCTTATTTTGACAGAGAATAATTCATCTGTGTATGCCTGATTTGCTTCATAGTTGACAAGTATAATGTTCAAAGTACAGACACGATGGGCCAAGGGTCTCTTTCCAAGCTGTAAACTCTGTGACTCTACAAAGCTTTATATGTTTCTATTGTCAAAATAATCTTATGTCAATTCAGGTTGTTTGTAAGTGTGCTTTAGAATAGCTGACCCACAGCTGTGCTGTCTACTTGCAGCACTTTGATCATTGTACTGATGACAACCAAGGCACACAGTAAAATTTGGCTGCTAAAGGAAAACCAGAAATGAGGGATACCCAGAAACAGCGTGCCCTAGCAGAACTTGCATTGGCATATTAAAGCACCACATCAGAATAATTGGACACCACCGTACCCATCAAAACATCACAGGGCATATCACTGCATTTGTGCAGCTCCAACCAGAGACTTACAAGTCTGCACTCCCTGAAATTTGAGAAGAGGTCTTCGGTCTTCCATCCCCATCTCTGTGTAACATTGCGCATTTATTTTCTTTTCAAAAAATGTTTAACTTTTTTTAGAAAACTGAAGGGTAAAGAATATAATGGTAGTCAATTTTTCTGCCTTGGCCCTTCGGAATGCACTAAATAAGAATCACAGAGAAGCGTGGGGAAATTAAACTAAGTGTTTCACAAATTCTGCAGGAGTGAAAAAGACAGGCTTGTGTCTTCAGAAGGGAGAGGCAGAAAATTGACGACCATAATACTCTCTGCATTTCTGTTTTCTAAAAATAAAATAAACATTCGTTGAAAATAAAATGTTAAACATTACTTAGAACATGGAGAAATGTAACATTCGCCAAGTGCACCATATCTGCCCAGCCGAAACAATATGGCGTACTGAGGTATTAGCCTGGTCCAATCCCACCCCTTTGACACAGGCATGTCTTCTGGAATAACCTTGCAGGCAGAAAGAGGAGTGAACATGCTCAATGACCCAGAGGCCAAATGGAGACTATTGGAGATGAATAGTCAGAGGTCTTTGAAGCTAAAAATAAGCGTGCAACTTTCCAATTGTCCACGGGACTGAGGGGATTCCGGTATATCGTTCATCATTAAGGGGCACAATTGTAAATGGGTGTCTGGTAAGTGCAAACTAAAGGGAAGATTTAATTGAAATTTAAGAGAAGTGGGAGATCACAAATGCCCTCATCAGTTCAGACTCTACTCTGCACTTTGGGGTATCCCTCAGGTATCCTGGGGCAACGTAAAAGGACCTACTGTTACACTAATCTGTCTTTTATATCCCGATTGGAATAATGGAAATTCCTTGGAGTAAAGATCAGAGAAATAAGTCCTCTACAAGCTACAGTTGAGAATTTCTATCTGAGGAATTTTTTCATCATTGCTTGTGTGGTCTTTAGGAATCCCTTTATCCACTGTTCGAAACCTGGAACAAGTGGAGAGAGCATAATGGTGCAAGCTCCACCCATCTATTCATCAATTTCGGTAGAGGTAGCTTCAACTTGCAGGACACCTATCTGCTGTTTCACTCTACAGCTAAATGCCAATAACAGCAGCGCAGCATTTCCAAGAGAAATCTGGAGCGGAAGATCACAGCTGGAAATTTGTGCCCTGCACATAACTTGGTACCCAAAAAAAACAGGTGCAGTGATGTTGAATTTCATCCCCTTTGTGGCACATGTTAAGGAATATCAGCAGATACTTCGGCACCCATTAATATTTTGCTTAATTGTAATTGCTTTTAGCTTTCCTTGAACAGAATATCATAAAAACCCAAAATACACTAAATAATGATCATAGAGAAGCTTCAGGAGATCAAATCAAATATATAACTAATTCTGCAGGGGAGGAAAAGACAGCTTTTGTCCTGTCCTTTCTATCATCTCACTGTTCTGTCCATTAACATGATGTACTGGTACAATATTTTCAATACTGAATTTGTAATTTGACCTTGAGGTCACACACTTATTGTTAGCTTTAAAGCCCTCTTGGTTGCTCATCTCCAACAGTAACCAGCAGGCCCTTTGGTCATTAAGCATGCTCTTTCTGCTAGAGGACAAACCTGTATCAAGAAGTGGAACCACACAAGACTAATGGTACAGTACACACCATGCAGCTTCACCTTGTGTTTTAAGCCAATGTTGATATCTAGACATTGAGACACCAGTCTGGAGTATCTTGGGCCACGGATGACTGCATGTACACTCTCCCTGAGGCTGCTTGTCCCTCATCTCTAAGCAACTCTATTCACCTCCATATACACAGTAACACGCCTTTATTTATACCTGTCCCCGTATCCAAAACCTCACATTTCCCATGGCTAACCCACCTAACCTACACACCCCTATGACACAATAGGCAATTTAGTATGACCAATCCACCTAACCTGCACATCTTTGGACTGTGGAAGGAAACTGGAGCACCCGGTTTTTGGTGAGAGAACATATTCTAAACAGTTGATTTTTCCATGTGGGTTAAATGCTTCTGTTTTCACTCAAAAAAATTTTTTTACTTTATATGATGGTTACATAGTTAAGAATATGAATTCATACAAAGTTTTGGAATTTTTTTGTAAGGATTGTTTTCAGAAATAATCCCAGTGATGAGATTAACCTGAGACATAGGCAAATGAGTAATGTTACAGGTGATGGTTTGTGGATACCACAACCTTGAACAAAAGACTGTTCTGAAAAAAGATGGAACAAACAGTGGCATTCATTGTTAATGGAAAGACAACTAAAGCAGAATGACCAGCTTTCCTTTAAAGTCAACAGGGTCCCATACTTTTTGGTGTTCAAATAGTGTATGATCGGTAATGGGACACCTTAACTTGGTAATGACTGAGCAACGATCCTGATAAAGACAGTGGGTAATGTTAAGCCACTTGTTTACTTATCTTAATGTAACTTGAGATTTCTGTTCAAGTTTCTTTGGAACAAGTTAAAATTGAACTAATGAAGCATGTGATTAGATTCCTTGGTTATCTTAAATGACGTGTTTATAGTTGGTTGATAACGTGCATTTATTTTTGTGCCAGAAACAGCATATGGATTCCTGATTACATTAATAATTATGAAGCTGGTTTATGATGAGACTAATCAAGTAATCCTACACTTGAATCACAAAACAAAATAAGTCAGTGCTGGTACAGCAGAATTTCCACATTATTTCCACATATGTTGCAACGATAAAAAGCTAGGAAGGGGAGTTCTGTAGGAATTTGTGCCGGGACAGTTGTTCCATACAATACAATTCCAGCTTTGTACTCAGAAATCAGAAATACAACTTGAAAGTTTGCAAAATACCAAATTTGGGGGCAATAATTAATACAGAGAAGGACAAAATAGAAGAAGACATTATCAAACTTGCAGAACAGTTATATAATTGGCAAATTAGCTTCAATCTTGAAAAGAATGAGGTGGTACATTTTAGCAGGAAGATTAAGGAAGCCACATATACCTGAGAAAACAAAAACAAATGTCTAAATAGGTTAGAGAAACAGAAGAATCTGGGTATACAGATGCACAAATCATTAAAAATACTGTTGTCCCGTAGGTAAGATCATTAAAAACAAAATCAAACATAGCACAGGGGATCACTTCTAGCAGGATATAATTTTAAAAGTAACAAAGTTATATTAAATTTGTTTAGAAGATTAGTTAGGTTACACCATCCTGGTCTTCAAATCATACAAAAAGAATATAGAAGCATTGAAGTATAACTAAGACCAGGGACTGGCTTAAGTGTTTTATGATTATGAAAGGGTAGGTCATTATGAAAGGGTAAAGTAGAGAAAATGTTTTCAATAGCAATGGAGGCCAGAATTAGGAGCCATAAATATGAGTTCGTCACTAATAAATCCAATAGGAAATGAAAGATTTTGTTAGACCAGTATTTTTCAATTAGGATTTTCTGAAACCCAATAATTCCATAAACATCCCTTAAAGTTCCATGGAGTTTTGAGGTCATTTGTGAATGGTACCAAAGCTTTCATTATCGCAATATGTTGTTCTTCACTAAATGCAAAATAATCATTAAAACTGTTTGCATTTTAATTCATTTATGCAATAATGTGCTACTTTGTTTTAATTTTTGTATGTATGCATATGCTGAGAAAAGGGTGTTATCTCAGTTGGCTGGGCTGCTGGTTTGCAATGCAGAGTAATGCCAACAGCACAAGTTCAAATCCCACTGAGGTTACCATGAACATCTCAACTTCTCCCCTCATTTGAGATATGAAGACCCTCAGGCTAAACCACCACCAATCATCTCTGTCTAAAGAGACAACAGCTCTAAGGTTTGATTGGACTATGGTAATTTATATACAGTGGCAGGGACGTTTTGGGATGCGCAGAATTTCAGAATATATTGTTCAGTTCCTTTACCCAATACTTTTCAGTCTATTTTTGATTATGCTGTAGAAATGTCTCCTACTAGATAATTGAGGAACAGCGTAAATACATCAAAGAGGAAGCTAGATTAGCATGACGGAGAAAAAATCGGACAT